TGACATAGCAGATTCTTTCGGAGCAGCGCCGCTCTTTGGCATTTCAACATTTTCCTTCTTAGCTTCCCTCCTAGCTCAACTCACAAATCGCGCATTGTACCAAACAATCCAAGAAGACTGTAAGGAAGGACTCCCCTCTTTCTCGGACCCTCGTTCGTGCAACCGGACACATCCATTGTCCCCCTAGAAAATCAGCCCGTCGCTCAAAACTCGAACAAAAGTTGCTTTCCCCACAACGTTCAGCCCTAAGCTGACAGTGTTCTGGAAACTATGTGCTTCTTGGGCCAGAAACATGCTCGTCACTCAACGGGTACTTCGAACGGCTTGGTTGTTACGCGCTGACACTATTGACACCACCACAACGCTGACAACGCCACCAAGGGCAAAGCTCATAACCACGCCAGCCTTGCTACGTCACCAATGCGGGGAATCTTTTCCTTTCGTTTTTGTTTGCGCGGGATATCCCATGACGCATCGCGCTCTCCGTTCACTTCTCTTTGAGCGCTTGCTTGAGTGCACCGTTTGGAACAAAAAATATAGCCAGTCGTTTAAAATACAAACGTGTGATTATCATTTACGGTTATTATCTGTCATGCTTGACTCATTTCCGAACGAAATTTGAATATTTCTATTTTTGTACCCCTTTAATATACGATAGATCCTTGCCTGGTTTGTCAAATGGTTGGCGTGCAATATTCGCTGCAGAAGAAGTGATGAAAATGTCTTTAATTTATTATATTGTGAAAAATTTTATATAGAGCTGAAAAGATTTTTTTTTTTTTTATTATGAAAATATTAATGTTGTTAAGGGGAGGCATGCAAATTTACAGCTGATGAAAACTGTGCCAAACGAACTTAACTTAAAAAACTTTACATAGAATTACCCCTTCCCTATTTTGAATTAAAAGATTTATAATGTCTTTCTGTACCTCACGCACTATTGTATCTTCAAGCAAATATTCTTTATTTGGAGATGAACAGTGTATTTGTGTATTTTATACGCATTCCCCTGCACCTTGATGTTTGGCTTGGTGGTTGCGAAGTTCTTTTAATCATCATTTTAACACAATCGTCATGACCAGTAACCTGCCATCTGATCTACACGAACGCAGTTCATTCCATTCTATACTTTTCATTGTTTACGATAATCACAGTCTACATGTCTTAGGTCCCAGCCCAGCATGCACATGTTCATCGCTTTGGAAGGCAAGCAATGTATGTGCCACACGCACGAACGCTGAAAATGGCATCGACCAGAAGCGCTTTTCAGAAATGGTTTACAGATCTTTTGCTAGATTACTTAAGCACCAAGGAGCATATTCATGCCACAAGAATAGTCACACGTGCTGACGCCTGCAACAGTAACTTTTCAAAAGAAAATCTAAAACAAATGGCACGTTCCTTCAGGTCATATGAGCGTGTGGGCATCTGTACCCACATTCCGAGCATTTTCCGCAGTGCTTTGGCAATTCACAAAAATTTTATTGCGTGACTCTTCGACCTTTCTTCACCAGCCATCTTCTAATAAAAAGAGAATGGATTTACCAGCGATATCACGAAACTAGCGAGGCGCGGCTTGAGCGTAGCGAGTTGCAAAAATGGTTTTATGAAATTGTAATTGCTAGTTTTTCTTTTACTTTCTTATAGTTATGCACATAGACCAAGGCCATACTTTGTGCAAATACATATAATTATCAACTCTAAACAGCACGAACGCCCAGATTTTTTTGCTGTTAGACGCGAGAAAGGCGGGCGCGAGTGTACTCGATTGCCGGCCGCACGCCTCGCTCCACAAAGTGACGTGACACTTGGGCGGCGGGGAAAACTGGGGAAAAACTAGGGAGAATGATGTTTCGGTTAACTAGAGTGAATCTGGGAGAATGAGATAGCATTTCGGAATCAGGAAGCCATCCGCATTCAGATTATGCCCTTGGACTAGGTAGCTCGAAAAGTCGGAGTTCACCTTTAAAGGGGTACTCCGGCATTTTCTCCATTGTCCCCGATTTGCCTAAAACCTTGCTTAACACACCAACGAACATCGCTAAAATAGTAACCTAAATATTTGGCCAAAATAACTTTTTTTCGCGAAGTTACAGAATTTACAATTAGGGTCATCATCGTGTTCTTCAAAGTGAAAAGCTCTACTGGCAACATTGAAATAGTGACATCATGGGAAGGCAGGGGTTCACTCTTTGGGCTGTAGACTTCGTTTTCAACTGACCACAAACAGTTTCATGGCGTTAAAAGAATGTTTTGGAAGGTTGCTCCAGCTCCCGCGCAGCACGAAACAAATGCTCGGCATAGTTCATTTCTAGACAGCCCGCTCGAACCGCAAGCCTGCCATCCCGTGACGCAGGCACGTAGGCAGGGGGGGCCATGGGACCTGGGCCCCACCCCGAAATCTTCCATTTTGCTGGGGCCTCCTCTCCCCCCTTGCCCTCATACAGCACTTTGTCATAAACAAGCCTCCCCCCCCCCCCCCACCCCCCGAAACAAAATCCTGGCTACGTGCCTGCCATGATGTCACGGCAATGAAAAGCGAAAGTATACCGTAAAATACCGTGCGCATCCGCCCATTCCACATTAAGCGCCCATTACCAAATTTGTGAGATCTGAGCAAATATGTACAGTACATTTATATGTAAAATTGATGACCGGACAAGTGCCCATCCCCCATTTTTTTGCGATTATCTCCAAAGTTTGAGTAGGCGCTTTCCCGGTATTTTACGGTATTTGAATTTTGGTATTGGCGTCATTTTCATTTGCCGATTTCATAATAACTATTTTGAGTTTCGTGATAGTAAATAGCATACCGGAAAGAGTAAAAGATGGCGATTTCGAAAATGTGGTTAGGTGGGGTTGCCCAAAAAAATCGCTGGATTTTTTAAGCAGGTCTTTTTTCTGCCAACACGACAGTGGTAGGAACATTACCTGTGTCGAGCTAGAGAAGCCATATTGGGGGCTACCCCAGCTACGTCCACACTGGCTTTCATGGCAGTTATGTGTGATGCAGACAGCTTTCACTATTTCAACCGAGTGCCTTGGCAAACACAGAAGCAGCCACATAAGACAATCAGGAAAAGACGCCGAGTTGTACAGGCTAAGGAGGAAGGACATAGTGCAGCGAGCTATCTAGTCCAGGCTATTCCTCTGAGAAATGCAGTCGGTGGAAATGTAGGTCAGTTATTCCCGCCATTAATTTAGGTAACTAATGCAAGCATTACACTATTTTGCATATTTCTCTACTGCAACGCTAGTCATCCGCAGCAGAAACAACGCCCCAAACTAAAAAGAAGTCTCATTGCATTGTTAACACAGACATCAAGTCCATTAGGAAAGGCCAGCTGTGCCATCCACCTGTTCATAAGCGAGCTGGAGTTCATCAAAACACAACCGAGAATCTCTCGGAAGTACTTGGTTCCTTTTCAGTAGTTATTGAATGAAAGCACAGTGCAGTGGTGATTACCATCAGCACAGCCTTGCCACTGGCACTGCTGTCCCTCGAATGGCACATGCACGACATGGCCTGCAAGCCACATATATCCCTAAAAGAAAGCTGCATAGGATGCACTTACCGTGGCTAGCGTCGCCACCCAGCGAGCTTGCACAAACCCTCTGCATGGCACGCAGTGCTGTTCAGAACAGAGCGGCACTGGCTAGCCAGTTAATGCGAAGGCTTGTAGTGTCTTGCCGCTGCCTTGGCAAAGCTGCAAGTCACCTCTTTCACGCCTTGTGGTGCCCATCAGCTTCAAACGAAACGGTGTTGAATCGCGACCAGCTATTACCTGTCGCACAAGGGAGAAAAGGGTGTGAATGTGCAGACTCCTATCTGTTTGCATTTGTCTAGCGTGTGAGTTTTGTTTGAGAAGAAAACAACAATGACACTTCTTTCACAGTAATATGCAAAACAAAAACGAGAACGGCTCGGTTATTAATAGTTGTGTGCAGCAGAGGCACGGGTGCGAGGGCGTAGCTCCGCAGAATGTTCTTTTTGCACGGCTGCTCGTGCAAAAAGGGCGCTTTTGTGCTCGGGCCTGTGCCTTTTCTGCACACAACGTATGTTACAGAGTGTATAGCACGCCTTCGAGAGCACTCGCGTGCGGCGAGAAATCCATCATATACAGGGTACGATCGCAGGAAACCTCGCAGGGGTGCAGGAAGCTGCAAGTGCACGGTGCACCAGAATGTGAAACTAGAGGTGGTAATAGTATTTCACAGTTTGAGAATATGACGTTACTTGACGTAACTGCCTTACCGGCGGATGATAAGGGCCATCGGAGCACGACCAACTATTTGTTGTGATCGGGGCATTCGATTGGACGCGGGTTGGTAAAGATTTGAAAAACACGAAAGAATAAAACATGTAGGGACGAAGACAGACAGCGCAGTTCTTTGTTGACATGAAATGTAAGATCAAGCACATTATTCTGTCGGATCAAATGGTTTTGTTGAATTAGGTTTAGCTCGCAAGTCAGCCGTTCTTCGGCGGGCTTTCAGCTTTCTGCGATGGTTGTTTTAATCGTGAACGCAGGCTCAAACAATGTAGGCAGCGGCGCCAAATAGATCTGAAACTAAGAAACAGCTCGGACGCGTGGAACGAACACACACAGAGATCACATCACAGGAAAACTCAAACCACTCACCTTTCGTTCGACGACGGTACGTCAGGCACGATGTTTCCGATGTTTCTCCAGGCGTTGAGGAGACCGCGTCTGTTTCCGTGCTCCTATTGGTCGTGACGTCACCAAATTTCATCCAATAAAGTGCGCGCCGAAGTTTTCTCTAGTCGCCGGTTCTCCTCCCCCTCCCTCTTAAATTTGACAAATATTTCTTAAATTTGTGTTTTTATTTAATTGTAGAACATTTTTTGTACATTTTATACCAATATTTTAACTTTTTTTGAAGATTGTAATTTTGTTTTGCTAAACATTCATATAGAAGCTAGCGCTCCTGGAAGCTTAAACAGCTTAAATATCCCGTCTGCCAAGCCTTGCTTTCGATCGGGATTTCGATCAATCGCTTCTACAACTTCTACTGAGAGTAACGTCGGTGTGTTCAGAAAAAGCTTAGAAAAATGCCTGATTACTTAGGAGACGACATGCGAAAGCCAAAAAAGGAGGAAAAAGAGGAAAAAGAAGAGGACATTAAAGGTAAATTTCTTCAAAAATTGGGCAAATTTGTTTTGGAAACATCGGAGTAACGAGATTTTGATGCGTCACTGTCGTGGTTCCTTCTCTCGAAGTTGTGCAAACTTTTCAAGACCGAAAATTGGCTGTCTGAAGCCCGTTGAGCATCTCTCACAGTGCTGAAAATATCTGAACAGAATATCGGTCTCATTTCAACGGACATCAAACTTGTAACGTCTCGCTGATCACGGGAGAGTGATGCATGTTCAAGATCATCCCAGGTTGCATGTCGCACTGCGCTGCAACGGTCAAATTAATGCCCCTTATGTAAGAGACAGCTGACTTCACGCTGTATAAATTTTGCTACAACTAAATCGGCACCATCATCAGCATAAAAAAAAAAAAAAGAGAAAAGGTTACAGCAACATAACGTAATATTCACAAGAAAGGTTTGTCATGCCAGTTCGAAAACTTGCGGTAGAGGAAAGGTACTTTAAAATTACCCTAGTAAAAAAAAAAAAAAATTGGGATGTTTTGGTGACACAGGGTGAAATACGAACATTATGACGGTGAGCTATGCATGTTGAAATGTAAGGTTTTGTTGGTTGCCTTTGGGGGGGGGGGGGGGGGGGGGGGGGGGGAAGGAAGGGGCGGGGGGGGGGGGGGGGGCTTAAAAAGTGAACTGTTTTGATGAAGTTTGTGCATCAAGTACAGGTGATATATTTCTGACAATGGGGGAAATTAGGTAATGAAAAACTTGCTTTCATTGAGCTTAGAGTCGTGGTGCAAGAGTACTTTGAAATGAAATGCTGTACTCAGTTCACTTCTTAATAGTCAAATCAGATGTAGGTGTCTCTATTGCTACATAGCATTTTCTCATGAGTAAAGCTATATGCACTCCGCTAAACTCATATAAAACAAATGGTCACAAAGAGTTTTCAAACTGGTGGCATAGCATAGGGTCTAAGGTGTCCGCTTTATACGCAAGTGGACGCAGTTCGATCCGCGGTGGGCCTACTTTTTTTTTTTTTCCCCCTTTTTTTTTCAAACATTTTGTTTTGTCGAAGCATTTGGCAATATTTACAACATTTTTTTTTTTTTTTTTGCGATGAACATTAAACTAAAGCAACTGAATGTTGTCGACGAAACTTCGCAGAACTAAATGGTAGCGAACTCCCTTTCCGGAGGTGCGATCGGGGATAGCGGGGCTTCGTAATTAGCAGCCGCATACTGTCGCCGCAAAGCGGCGTGAACGCTGGCGGGGGGCTCTGGTAACGAGCTCCCCAATGATACACGCGCCGTTCGAAAAGGGTGGCCCGAGCGGCATGAGCTCTCTGCGGAGAGCATATAGCCATTCCGTCTGAAGTGCACTCTGGAGTGCGTATAGGTTTACTCTTTTCTCATAGCTAGCTCTCACTTATCTTGTAGGTTACGTTGTTGGTCCAGTTGGTTCATCTTAGTTAAACATATAAAATAGCGCAAAAAAAGACAAGGACAAGAAGTAAACAGGACAAGCACTAACTTTCAACTAGTTTTACTCGGGAAAAGCAAAGCATATATACGCACCACATGGGAAGCAGCAACACATCTGGCCAAGAATTCATACTTCAATGTTGTAAAATTTGCGTTGATAAAGGATTCTGGAAGCTCGCTGTTGGTGTCTGTTTCGCTGCAGCTTAAATCACAACTATTGATGCTTGCTTGGACATCATTCATTCATTTATTTATTCATTCATTTTGAGTGGCCCTCAAACAGCATGAGACCTTTTTAGTGGTGCACTTTCCAGATTAGTATGTAACGGCAAAACAAAATTATGAATGGGGAGAGAAACTTTATCTGCCATTCCGGTGCTTTTTAAGCTGCAAACTATTATTCTGCTGTGCCAAGGTTACACTGCAGAAACGGTATTTGAGGACGTGAAAAGCAGGAATAAGTGTGACTACTGCCGAAAGAAGTCACGTGCAAGCCTTAAAGAGCAACTCCGCTCAATTCCGAAGATTCCAAGATAATGAGTGATTTCACATTAAAGAGCCCTAATGAAAGACACTACTCATTTGCTTCGTGAGAAATTTTATGTACATTTTTAAATCCAATTTTAAGCACGAGCAGAAATCAAAACTGAAACTTCGGCTCCATTGGGCAACATTGGCCTCGGGCCGCCAAGAAATCCAGGCAGGTTTAGAAATACAGCAAAAGAGTGGGCAGGTTGGCATTGGGGGCACATGGGAATACACCGAATGAGGGAGTACAAGGGGATATGGGTTGGGCTTCTTTCAAGAGTAGAGAAGCGATCAGAAAGTAATATTTGAGGGTACACAGTGGGTAGGGACAGTGGGTAGGCAACTCGGTGTGTTGCAGTTTGTCGGACCGTTTAAGAAACATTTAGACAGAACTAGGTCGTAATATTTGATGTATGGTCTTTCTTAGTGATACTGAAGGGGACTTCATTGTGTTTTCAAAAACCAAATTGAAGCGGAGTTGCCCTTTAAGTGGTGGTGCCTGTTGAATTGAGAAACTCAAAATTTTGTATCTCTTTGTTCCAGTTCTCGATGAAGGAGACATCGCACTACTCAAAACATATGTAAGCAATTTTTTTTTTTTTTTTGCTATGCTGTGGTTTAGACATTTACTCTTGTTGTGCTGGGGAAAGTATGATAACATATGACACTGCTGTGTTCTGTCTCGTGTTCCCAGGGTGCTGGACAGTACAGCAAGACCATCAAACAGGCTGAGGACGACATCCAAGCCATTCTCAAGCGTGTCAATGAGCTTACTGGTGAGCCACGATTATTCATAGCTCAACGGGGCGGTGCCTGTTTCTCAGCACTGATTGTTCCTTCTCTGCATGAGGGCTAGCATAGCTAAATGTCTCATCAAAAAGAAGGCTGATGCTTTTGTAGCCTTTGCTGATTATAAAGGAACATTGGACGATTGTATTTAATTTTTTTAAATGGTGTTTTTATGCATCTTGGGAACATAGCATGCTGCCCAATTTTTTGTAGACATTTGTGACGCATATTTTTGTGCCTACGAAAGAAGTAAAGAAACCGAAACTCAACAATCTCCATTCTTGTTTCTGGGCCTCCTAAAGCGGAGGTGACGTAGGGAAGGACGTCAAGTGTGAATAGTTGATATCGGTAGTATCTAGGAGATCGAGACTCTGGTTACCGCGGTGGGTTATAGCAGTGCGGTGGCGCGGTCGTTTAGTCAGATCTGTCAACATGGACGGCAATGCCACTCTCGCGAGCGAGTTCGAGCTTTCGTTCAGTGACCCAACACAAGCGGAACGGGAGTACGTGTGTGGCGGCCTCCGCCATCACCCGATGAAGACCGCCCAGCTGCTAACGGGTGGCCGCATGCCGAAGTGCCCATAGTTGCTTGTTGGCCGTTTCGCGTTCAGCGTAGCGAATAGAAAACAATTATGCTGCTTTATTTACGGTTTAGTAATCATTTCCGGTCCGATTTATACTTTTCATGGTTATTCAAGCGGAAACTAGAACAGTATTTCTAAAAATCGCGAACCAAAACGTGATCGAGGGCACGTCTCTCGTTTCGACCAATCGCTGACATGTCTCTTGTGTTGTCGCGCTTCTTGGCCCCGCAAAGGTCACGTGAGCCGCTTCTCCTGGCTTCTCCTGCAACTCTCGGGACGTCGCCCCAGTCGATCCCGGTACGATTATTACCGCAACTGTTTATATTGATTTGCGCAGCACACAAGCGCCGGTTTCAGCTGAAATTTGGGCAATGTGGCCTGAGACGTGCCTGGAACCCAGTTCAATCGCCAAAAATATGTCCAAAATTGCCTTCATTGTCCCTTCAAGGGGAGACACTACCCACAAAAGTCAACTTCTTGTACCACTTGCTTGATTTCAGTCAAGTTTGCAGTGGAAGTTTATATAAGTGGCAAGCCCACCCTGCCAAATTTTATTGTCCTAAGTCAATTCTAAAACTTGTTACGAATGTTACAATGTGGAAGTCAGTGTGTTCGCTTAGGAAGACTATCGTTCTAGAATGAAATAACAATTTGTGATTTTTATGTGTAATATAGTCATAGGAATACCCATAGCACATGCCCAGCTAGTTATTTTGCTATATTGTGTTGTTTTTCATAAGTATAACTCCATAAGAAGATTAAATATTTTTTTCATCTCCACGCTTTTTTACAAATTTAGTTTTTTAGCATAAAAGAATGTTAAAGTAGAAGAACTAACCAGCCAGGCATGTTCCTCACAAAAGTGTATACCAGAAAACCACCAAAAATAATTCTCTATTGTGTAATAGGAAAATGATAGTCTTCCTAAGGTGAAATTTGTGCCGAAAAGTGGAACGGAGAAAAATGCATTGAAAGTGCTCCAACCGCTACCTTTTCTTTAGCACCAGTAGACCGAAAATAATTTATAAAGAATTAACTATGCAGTGTAAACTAATGAAACTTTCTGGGAATACTCTCTATATGTTGGCGAATGTAACTAAAACATATTTTTTTTTTTCAAAATCCACCTTTTTTATAGAAAAAGTTTTTTCTTGGTAAACGACTATGGATGTCTGATAAGGTACTGTCTACAATTATTTATTATGAAATGCAAAGTGATTCTTTTTAGTTTCTTCTTTATTGATGACGAGCCAAAATAGGGGGTTAGTGACTTTAGTGGTGCCAACAGCATAAGGGGTCAAATCCAAATCCTGAAAGAATTTATTTCTTTTTTCTTTTTTGTAGAGAATCAGAAAAATGGAATCTGGATGATGCTACTTTCCTGCTTTTGCAAAGAAGTTTGGCTTACCGAAGAGAGATATGAATACGTATCATAGGGGGGGCCAACCCGCGGCTCGTGAACCTTATGCGGCTCTTTGGGAGCCCCAGTGCAGCTCAGAGCTCCCTAGCAAACCCTCCCTCCCCCTTGCAAGAGCAAAAGGAAAGACAAAAAAATGAAAGACGTTTACAAATCTCTAATGAGAAAGTAGAGCACAGCTCTTGAGGAGGGGAGGGTATGCCCCTTCCCCTCCTCCTCTCTCCTCCCCCTTTCTTCCTCCTCCTCCTTCCGCTGAATTTGTTCATGGCTGACATGACACGAAGTCGTGACGTCAATTTCTCCTCTAAATATACTGGGGAAATTGAATTGCTGTTGAGGTCACGGGAAGTCAATTTCCCTGCAAAATTTAGCTGGGAAACTTAACCCAAGTTTAGCAGCAAAATTTAGCAGGGAAATGTTTCTGCCAAATTTCCCTGCTAACTTTGGCGGGGAAACATCCCATAGTGCAACGCGCATGGTTGCGCCGACGGCGACGCTGCTCACCCCGGAAACGGGCGCCTAAGAGCTGTACTCTAAAAAGGCAGTTTGTATTTTGTCAGCTTCGAGCCTTGATATTCACATCGAACAAGGTCCTTGTTTTACGAATGAGGACTCATGATAAAAAAGCACACTGAACAATCCTTTCATGAGTAGAATTTGCCGTAACCACCTGCAAAGAAGCATTTTATTTTAATGCACAAGCATTAAGTCTCCCATGAAGTGGAGCTGGCGACGTCTGTAACCACAAAAATAACCACAAAAAAAACGCTAAAGGAATTCTCAGGAGCTGGCAGCATCTGCAATTGCTGTAACCGTAAGAAACGTGAAAGTCCTAGTGAAACGGCTCCTTGATAGCCATTGGCTGGGATGCATGCACATAGTTCCAAGGAATGCCACCCCACAAAGAAGCCTGCTTCCTGACGCTCCGGCTCGTACGCCAGGAAGGAGTGCACTCGGCCACTGCTCTCGTGTCAGGCGTTGCCGGAGATGGGGGCGCTGCGGCCGCTTTTGCTCCTCGGCGCCGAGGAACATGGCAGCGCCTGAGGCATCTATATCGTCGGCAGCTGCAACCTGGGTAGTAGCGAAACGTGGCCGTCCACACCAGTTCTCCGCAGACGAACTAAGGAAGCGGAAGAACAATATTGATGCTTTTGCATTCACAACTCATAAGAAGTGCTTAGGAGTCCTCGGAATGTTTTTTTTAAGTGCCATGTATTCTTTTTTATTGCAGTTCTTCATTTAAATGGTTCCTTTTTGTGGCTCTTTCAAGTGCCTGTCTGGGCAACTCTGACATATCGTATGATGTGTGCTTTGTCATTATTGTATTTTGCAATATTTTGAGCTGGTGTATTAACTGTTTGGCCAAAATGTAAAACCGGTGCATTTTTGTGCACTGTAAAAGATTTAGGTTCATTTCAAATTGTTGATACGCATTCAAATGTTGTGTAGCACGCATTGGTTAGAATTCCTGTTGTAGCCTTCCTGCAGCTTCGTTCTGTCAGCTTTGAATGCTAAAAGCAGGCACATGTCTTGCTGTAGGCATCAAGGAGTCTGACACTGGCCTGGCCCCACCAGCGCTCTGGGACTTGGCAGCTGACAAACAGACGCTCCAGAATGAGCAACCACTTCAGGTGGGCTGTTGGTTGGGTTGTCAATTTCTTGCACGATTCCTATGATCCATTAGGGTCTCTTCATGAAAGGTTTATTTTTGTTTGCTCAGAAACCCCAAAGGAATGAAGAAGCTATGTAGGAGGTGATAAAGATCATTGCTGAATTTCTTCATCAACTTTGTCGGGATGCCTTAGACAATCATTGTTTGAGGCATCTTGATCCCCCCCACCCCCCCCCCATTATTTTTTTTAAGTGTCAGAATAGGACACATACCATAAAATAGGGAGGGGGGGGGGGGTCACCCCGCTTTCACTGAAAACGGTTAATTTAGACATGGGCACTTCCGTGGTCAAATCGGGCACTTAACGTAAAATTTGCAGAATTCCCTAGTTTGGAAAAAGTTAATAGTGGGCGCTTGAACGAAGTGGGTGCTTCCATGGTATATTACAGTATGTCACGAAAGGAACTTTCACCGAAAAATGTGTGCAGTATTTATGTTACAGGACTTATTTGAGCAATCTCGAAACATGGTTCTGTTTTGGGGTCAACATCCAAAATGCTAAATAGCTCTCCCGCAACATAAATATTGTTCCAAACTTTTTCTTCCTTTTATTTTTTTTTTATTTTTGCGGGGGTGGGGGTGGGGTAGTTTATTTTATAACATAAATGTTCTATTCAGGCACTAAAAAGTGTTCTTTTAGGGCCCTTACACATTGAAGAACACGGTTGAAACATAAAAATAGCATGTTTGTCAACAATCGGTCAACATGTTCGCCAACAGGCTCTGTTGCCCGGCAACCCTTTCAGATTGTGGGAGTGGCGACACAACGCAAACAACAACGTTTCTGCAATGTGATAGCCTTTCGGCAGCCAAAACGAGCAACAAACTGGGTTGCCCGGTTTACTATTTGAGCGAATTTTGTGCTGCCAACATAACTCGTACAGCTTCCACAGCTGGGTGTCCTGCCACTAACTTGATTTTTTGCTATAATATATCCAAATACAGTATAGACCACTTACAACGTAACCGCTTATAGTGCAGGACCGGGTATAACGCGGCTTTTTTAAACCACCGGTTCGCCTCCCATTGAACTCCATGTAATTACATACCGCTTAAAATGCAGGCGGGCGAAGGGAAATACCGGTTATAGTGCGGTTTTCGGAACAGCCCGGCGACCGCGCCGACTGACCGACGCAGAGAGCACGCTTCCCTGTGCAACACTAAATAACGGCGCGAGCCGCAAGCGGCACTCGCAGTGCAAGGAGGTTGCTCGAAGAAGCGGGGAGAAGCGAAGAGAGAGGCTTCAGTTGCCATAGCGACGGATGGACGCACGCACGTGTCGTTCACGTGCGTACGTACGTCCGCTGCGTTGGAAACGTTGGAAACAATCGCAACGACAGACCAATCGCAGGTCGAGGAGAAGTGTACGCGCGTTACATGCCGGTCGCGGGCCGGCCGGCCGGCTGCTTCTATCCGCAATCATGGCGTCGGTTTTGATCGTCGACGTAGACGGCGTGGTAGAAGCTCATCATTCCGCATAAAAGCGCTATCCTTGACTGAATTTTCGTCGTGTGTCGCTATGATAACCCAGCACGTACTAGAGGGGAAGATCCACCTACTCGTGCGGCGATGTTGTGGCAGCACTCTCAAGACGGCAGAAACGCCCGTGTCGTTGTGTTTGTTTACTTCGACTACAGTGGTGCTTTCTAATCATTTGTGTTTTCGAACATCGCCCGGATTTCTTATTTGGAGCATTTCATGCCTGTGCTCAAGTTGAAGGTATTACTGGCGCGTACCGTATAAAGGATGCGAATTTTCACGCGTTTTCATCGTCGGAGAAAAGTGATTAGGGTTAGCAATCCTGAACGCTCGCAACGTCCGTCCGCAACCCGCGACGCCGTTAAAAGGCTGCGCCAGGCAAAAGTCGCTCATTTCTTTCAAAATGTGTGACACACTTGAGAGAGAAGTGTACTTGTCTGGTGAAATAAAGACTTTCCTCAAACTGAGCTTTATTTTTTATCTGACATAAATAAATTCTGTTACAAAGGTAAGAGGACATGCATTTTGGCCTGAAAAATTTATGTTTTGGTTATAGCGCTGTACCGCTTATAGTGCGGATTTTCGCAACTCCCGCGACATACGTTATATGCGGTCTACACTGTATTGGGTGGTTGATGATATTTATTGATAGTGAGGTTTTATGTGCATCTGACACCTTAATGATTGCTCAATGGAGTCACTAGGGGGGTGGCGGGGCAGACCGCCCCGGTTGCAGCGCTCAGGTGGGTGCAGCTGGGCAGTGAAAGGCGTGGGATGGGGGAGGGTGGTCGTGACTGGCCACCGCTCTGACCCTAGTGACGCCACTGTCAATCTGTAACTTGGAAAGCAGTTGTCAAAAACTTCACAGCTATTTGGTTGTTTTATTAAACAAATGTCGAAATTAGAATTGTTGGTAATGATCAACTGACATCGTGGCTAACTAAATAAAACGCAGTGACTACCGTCTTGTTGAGAAAAGTGGTGAACTTCATGCGGGAAAATGAGCAACGGCTAAATACTTTCATGACCAAATGCAAACGTTCACAGCGTTTTCTGTTCGATCCTCCAGGTTGCCCGTTGCACCAAGATAATCAACGCGGACAGCGACGACCCCAAGTACATCATCAACGTCAAGCAGTTTGCAAAGTTTGTGGTGGACCTCGCCGACTCGGTGGCGCCAACTGACATCGAGGAAGGCATGAGGGTCGGGTGAGGACGGTTTGCATGTTGCTCCTCCGCTCTTGCAGGTGGCTTTGTTCTTGAGCCAACAAATGTCCCATGTGTACTGCAGTTGCCATACAGTTTCTTCGACGCGCACAAGGATGGCCACTGCTTTTCCTTTTACAAATAGATCCTTGGGTCAAAGTTAGCAGACCTAGTGGTGTAGGCTGGGGTGGTGCTCATTTAGGTTCAGCACCCCCTGAAATTAAGCCGATCCTATAATATACCCTACATGCATTTTGACCCTCCCTGCATCCCAAGTCATAGATGCGACCCTCACCCCTCTGAAAACAAATCCTGGCTATGCCGCTGGTCAGACCAACTTTGTATTGATGCTCGAGGAAGTGTATCCTCACGAAACCTTCTTCTGAAGGCCCAAAAGTTTCTGTCATCTACGGTTGCTGTATAGAGACAGAAAGTTTAAATTGGAAAATTCATTGTGTGAAAAGTAGATCATGGCTTTGAAAAAAAAATTAAGGTCTGCTTGGTCCGGACGCCAATTTATCCGGTTCATTATGTGATTGTAATTATTTTTTCTTGCTCGGCGGAACTGTGATACCTTAGAAAGGCGAATGGCCTATGCAGAATAGGACATCTGCGTTGCATATAACGAATGCAACGACGAGATTAATTATGAAAAGGATGGCAACGACTGCATGAATTGTCTATTTCGGCGAGCCAAGATCACCATATTCCGTTACGAGTCAAGAAGGTAGGGCGAGGGAAAGGAAAACTTGGGAGGAGGAAGCAGATGCAGTGATGTGATTGCTGCGCCAATTGCGCCAAACTGCGCCAAGGGGCTAACCCTGCTACATCCTGCTACATTTTGCCAAAATATGGGTAATCTGCGCCAAGCCTGCGCCAAAGGACCAGTTTTGGTCGCCTTTCAAAACCGAAACTAAACTGAGTACCGTAATTGAGCACACATGAGCTAGGTGGTGGAAACAGCCGTCCGACACAAAGTACCCTGCATCAATCATTCATCCGGTCTTGCATGGCTTCTCCCCCCGTCTCTCCTCTCACGTCTTTTTTTTAAAAAAAACATTTCAATGATTGACGTGGGCGTGGGCTGACGCTCCGACGCTAGCGTGCTGCGTACCAGCTGTGCCGTCATGCTGTGAAACGAAACCATGTTTTTGCGCGGCGGGGGTTACTTTATGGGCTGAAGCACTCGCTCCTAAAAGCAACGGCCGTGGCCAAACTATATTTGGTCTGTGCCTGCCAGTCACCATGGTCGCGCGACGTCGGATTTTGCCGTCCCCACGTCACTGCAGTTATGGCACTTACTAAACTAAAACGTAAGGGCTGCCGCATGTTCATCTACAATCCTGTTCTTGTTTAATACGCTACTACAAACATCCCTTTAGCTCAAAGACTGCTGTGTCGAAGTATTGATTACCTAGGTTTCTGTCGCTAGGCTTTCTTTCGAGACATACTCCGGTACGTGAAAAATCAGCCACGAAAGATGTTGGTGAAGAGAAATAAGCTGAAGCGAAGAAGGCAATGTCCGCATGCTCAACCCGCACAGTGTGCTTATTTGTCTCGAGTTCAGTCGTTGCCCAAAGCGCTCCGAGAACTTTTTGATCCTGGCTCGTGATGTCTTGCATCGATGCGCTCAGGTTCTTTTTTTTTTTCTCTGTTTAGCTTGTTCCTCGCCTGCAGTCCTGGCAAGCCCGTGCCGCTGGACTGCTTTTTTTTGTTGTATGTTGGACAGCTACATTTTGCATACAGTTTTGGGAATTAGTTGGAGACGGTGCGGAGTGGCATGGTTTCGATTGAACAGCCATCTCAGCTCGCGCAACAATTTCGCATTGCACGGCAGTAGTTACGTGTTTCATCACTTGGAGACTGCTTCCATTTACTATATTACTAGTCAACCTAATGATGTGATATTTACTATTAAGCTGCTCATTTTCAAATAAATTTTAATATGTGCAGTTTGGTCCGATATATTTTTACCATTTAACTGAAGCATTGCAAAATGTGTCATGTCATTGGCATTTCGGTTACATGTTGAAAGACTCCCAGGTTGTCTATCTTGACAATAATTAGTTGATTGCGGCGAGCAATGTGTCCTTCGTTTGTACACCACTTGAAATGAATATCTTTTCTTTTTTTTCTAAAAATATCTGCTCCAAAAGCAACTTTCGCAGCTCCGAAACACTGTTTTAGCTGCTCCAAAAGCCAGTTTTGCTGCTCCAAAACTCCGTTTTGACTGCTCCAGAAGGTGCTCCAAAACAGCTTAGGCCAATCACATCACTGCAGATGGAACGCTGGAGAGGGGAAAACCTCCTCCTCTCTCCAGCGTTCCGTCTGCTTCCTCCTCCCCTACCCTCCTTTCCCTTGCCCTATTTTCTTGAGCTGTAACCTACTACAGCAGGTCATGGTATACAGTGCAAAGCAGATTGTTGAGCCTAGATGACTGAAGTGGCTCAGTAATGTTCTGTACCAAAAGCACACGCGTGTCCTTTCTGACCTGTCTATTTTTTACTACGAATATCTTTTTTTTTGTTCTTTTATTTTCTAGATGTTTAGTGACCATTTCTTATGCTCTTGACTCGGGCGCCGGAACTTTGAAGCCATGGGAAGCCAGAGGAGGTGGCCCAGTGCCATTTAGAAGACAAGGCCCGTGCAATATGTCACCGTCAGTGAATCCCCTACCTGCCCCAAGTGGCAAAAGCGCCGGAGCTCATTGAGAGTGTGTGACAAGGCGGCAGACGCGTGTATCTTGGCGCCACACCTAGCTTAGTGCGACGAGCCGAGTGGTGCCGTGCGTACTCGCTAGGGATGATGTCGGTGCAGAAAAGGCTCGGGCCTTGTTTTCTAAGCAGCATCGGTCGGCCTTTTCTTGAAAACGCCGCAGCCATGGTTCTCGGTGGTGCTCCCTCCTGAGGTGCTTCTTTCCCATGTTGGCAGGGTGGACCGCAACAAGTACCAGATCCACATCCCCCTGCCGCCCAAGATCGACCCCACAGTGACCATGATGCAGGTGGAGGAGAAGCCCGACGTGACCTACACAGACGTGGGCGGCTGCAAGGAGCAGATTGAGAAGCTCAGGGAGGTCGTCGAGACCCCCCTGCTGCACGTGGGTGCCCCCTTTCTTCTCTTTCTCTCTGTCTGTCCATCTGTTATTCGAAGTGGTACGAGTTATTCTTCTAGAGTAATTGAGCCAACGTTAAGGTTTGCCGCTCTACCTCTTTGATCTCCCTTCCTTCGTCTGCCCATACATCTATTGGCCAAAGTGCTACAAGTTACTCTTCTAGAGCAAGGGCCTGTTCGCACGTACGCTACCGCGCTACCTCAGTGCTATTGTTTGGCGCTAGAAATCGCACCGACTTCGTTGATGCAGCACTGACTTCATGCCATATTAGTTATACAGCGCTGATAAAGCGCCGCATCAGTGTGGAATTACCGTATTTACTTGCATAATGAACGCATCCCTCAAAACCGGTACCAATATTTGGACTTTTTTTTTGAGTCCAGCTCTTAGGCGCCCGTTTGCGCTAAATTTTGTGAAAAACATTTCTCGCTCAATTTAGCGAAAAAATTTCCCCTCTAAATCTAGCGGAGAATTCTTTCCGCTAAGTTTGGTAGAAAGAATTCTCTGCCAAATTTAGCGGAAAACTTTCCCTGCTAAATTTAGCGGAAAGTTTTCCCTGCGATTACGGCGACGCCGACACTGACGGCACCACCCCAATACCAATATTTGTACCAATATTTGGACTTTTTTTTTCCCTCGCGTAATCAACGCATTTCCAATTTTCGGCTCCGTGAGCCTTGAATTGTGTCCAATTTATCTAGCCACCAAGCCAATTTTCTTTTGTCGCCAAGCAGTCAGACCAAGCCAAGCCAAGCAAAGCCAAGCCGCTCTCGTAATGGCTGTAAGTGCGTAGTTGCAGTAGTTGCGGAAGTGATGAACTGCGAAGCCGAGCAGCGTGCACCCTTGACGAAGCTTGGGTTGAGGACTTGCCCAGCCTTGGACATTCTTCGCCTATTGGATGCATTGATTTCAACAAACACGCCGACGTCCGTGGTCCGCTTTTGGACGGATAAATCGTGAAAGGGGTTAGGCCTAATTTCACATACTCCGGGATAATGTGTTTATTAATCCTTAACAGAATTGCACAGTGAGATGCACGCTGCGTCGTAAGTTGAGAGTGTCTGGTAGCCCCTGGTAACAGCAGTCTCCGTAAATGAAACTTGATTTGTGCGAGCGGGCCTCGGCGGTCGGCGGTTGAGCTTTGTCCGAGTTCTCATACGCTTAGTCGCGCTATATACCCGAATGCACTGCCGGATATTAGCAATATATACCATCTAAGAACGGCTGCATTGCTTTCCGTGCTGAGTGAGCTTTGTAGGGCGCTTTTCCTTCGGCAAAAGGGACACTGAAAGCACCCTAAAAAGGTTTGCAATTTATAAAGCATGGTTACTGTGGCACGCCCCCCACCAGTCATCGGTGTGCCTCCATCAGTGGGGACGTGCCACAGTACGTTGCCTGGTCATATTGGCACCTAATATGACATTTGCACAAAGTCTGTAAATGCAAAAATTTTACCCCGCATAATGGACCCCCCCAAATATGTGTGAATTTTCCGAGAAAAAAGTGTGTTCATTATGCGAGTAAATACAATACATTCATCACCAGGGTTCCTAGTTTTGACTTGGTGCTGCACTGTATGCCAATCGGCCTTTGTTATGTTTATGTAAGGGTTGTCTTTTATGGGCGAAGCTTCTTAGGGTCTGGCCTTGTCTGTCCGGCGTCCATGCTCACATCGATTGCCATCCCACCTGTCTTCTTAAAAAAAGAAAAAAATGTTTGCACAGTCAACAGGATTCGAACCTGTGCGGGGAGACCCCAATGGATTTCCAGTCCATTGCATTAACCATTCAGGCACGACTGCGGGACGAGTAGGGGGCTCTGAGATGTGTTAGTAACTGAAGAGCTGGGGTTTCTGTCATGGATGAAAAGTTGCATGTAGCCGCTCAGCGTCTATACAGGAGAGGGCGCTGCGGTCAAATGCGTATATAATCGTGTTAAACTTTGCATGCATTGGCTCAACGTTTATAGACGAGAGGGCACTGCGGACAAATGCTTAACTGCGTTTATAACCACGATCCATTTCACTCATTCTCTTTCTGACATGGACCATTGACTTAGGCGGTGGAGATACGTTCCCACGGCTTCTAGCGAATCCAAGCTGATCCGCTGGAAGAACCACTGGCTCTGCATTTCACCGACCATAAAGCAGTAATAATGAAGTCGAAATGCAGCCTGGAACTCAGCGCTACCTATGAGCAATAAAAAAAAAATCGGCACCATCAGCACTACCTATGAACAAAATCAGTATCATCAGCACCACCAGAGCTTCGCCCCAATCAGCATCATTCACCCCCAAGGAGATGCGGTCATTTTATTTACCTCCCTTTTCCTTCATTCCTCTTTCCGGCCATCTGGAGTTTTCATGTTAAAGCGGCACTTAACCACCTTTGTGATGGTCTGTTTATGGTCATAACTGAATCTATGAGCTCTAAGAATCCTAGCAAAACCAAACATTACGTTCAGGCATGGCTGATTTTTCTATTAAAATCAATATCAAAGTTTGATGACCTTGGAACCATCGCGGACACCAGAAGGCGCCGTCGGACAAAGAGAAAGATTATTACAGAAAGTGTTTTAGTTCTCCCTTAATGTGAGGGTCAAGATAAGGAAGTTGGATAAGGGAGTTGGACTTGTTTGCTTTGAAAAGCAAATGAGTTAAAAAGTAAGTGCAGTGTGTGTACGTCTAGGCTGTGCAAGTTAGTCAGCCCCAATGGCCGTCTATTGTCTCTGCTCTTGATGAGAAATTTAGCCGGTGCAGTACGATCGGCGGCCCGGGGGCCTTAAACATGTGTCGCGCAGTAGTATCGCACGACTACGCACCGGTACGGTGCCCACATAGATCAAAGTGGTTAAGGTTGAGGCTCGAACAAACGAGTTTTTATAACCATTGTTTCAAGAAGGTGTCCTTCCTACATTGAAATTACCGACAACCAAACACATTTCCATCTTTTCCTATGCCCGACATTTTACCCATTGTTTTGGGCGGCACCAATGAAACGGTTTTTAAGACTTCTCGTCGTTCAAGCTTGCCACGTTGGCATTGCCTGTGACAGAGGAGACAGCAGTGGAGGTAACCCCAAGCAGTCCATTCTCAACCAAAAAACGTTCTCGCAAAATAATAGAAAACAAAAAAAACAACAAAAAACTGGATTCGCATATACTAACTATGTTATGTGTATGTTTCTTTGTTTCGTTTTTTGTTATTGTTTGAACTTTGTGGGCTCTGTCCATCGTCCTAATCTCTCGACGGTCTTTTGTTCTCGGAGCAGCCGGAGCGCTTTGTGGACCTGGGCATTGAGCCCCCGAAGGGGGTGCTGCTCTTCGGCCCCCCCGGCACGGGCAAGACACTGTGCGCCCGGGCGGTGGCCAACCGGACGGACGCCTGCTTCATCCGGGTCATTGGCTCGGAGCTGGTCCAAAAGTATGTCGGAGAGGTGAGGGAGCTGCCGCTTGTCTCGGCTTTGTCAGTAGTAGTAGTATGGTGGCCGGAGCGTGTCTCCGACCGGCGTGCGTGCTGCGTCCTCAATTGCGGTCTGCCGACTTCCGCCCCGACGACGTTGTAGAAGGGTCGCGTTGCCCGTCTTGATCGTGGAGGTGGCGCGGCGGCAGAGGTGGACGTTCCGGATGCTCGCTTTGCCACAGCTCGCTCCCAGCTCAGCGGTTTGTGGAAGCTTGCGCAGCAACCAGTTAAAACGTAGCAACGAATGCGACGCCGTTGTTTACTCGTCGTTTTTGCCCAAACTTCATGACCGATTTCCGGGATTGCGGCGTCCAACAGCGTGCCGTCTTCTGCGACATCGTTTCTTGCTACTTTGGGACTGCTTTTAATGTGTGGGCGGTGTAGGATGTTGAACATGCTAATCAGAGATGCGTTTTTAGGCACCGTAGTGGTACTAGTATGTTTTTTTTTCTCAAAAGGTAGCAAACGATGGGAGACAGAAGAAGTCCCACAAATGATGCTGAAGTCGCGGACGGGTAAAGAAATGCAGGGTGTGGGGAGTCTCGAGCACCTTGTTATTACATTGCAACCAATGTGACTCGCATACCACACCCCGACTTTCTGAAGAAATGCTGAACTACCAAAAAATTATTTATTTTAAAGTTCTCCCCAAAAAACTTTTTCCTAAAAAAAATATCTTTGCTTAGTATTAACATTATGAGACCCATTTTGAGTCGGGCTCGATTCGAAAACATGATAGTTCGAGATAATTACCTTAAAAGAGACACATGTCACTTAATAGTTGCATATTTTAGGAAATTAAAAATTTCTACCTATAGACCTTTCCAGCGGCAGTCTCGAACGAAGCGATTTACAGCGCGTGTCCCTGGTTTTGAGAGTGTACGTCAGTGTTGCCCGACTGCACTGAGCTGTGGAGTTTCTCGTCAGTAGGCTGTGGCAGCCTGCGTTGGGCGCAATTCCGGACGCTGGTGGCGGCTGAATTGCCGCGTTTTCTTTTTTATCTTGTGTTCTGTGGCGAGCATAATTTATAGAGGTCTTTAAGAAAGCAGTTCTCTATTTTTGGGAACAAAAACAAAGAAATGAAAGCTGTTTTAGTGAGTCCGTGCGCGACAGAACAAATGCAACTTGAATGTTTGTTTTATTTTATGTTCATTGTTTTACGGCACTGTTAATTCAGCCGTGTCAATCTATAAAGGTCAAAATATTTGACCACACAGGATATCCGTACTGCAGGGATATTCCCCGCCCACAACATAAAATTCAATGAATCTCATCAATCGAACAAAAATTATATTGTACGTACCCCTCGGTGCCGCGTTATCCGAACAGGATTTGAGAAAGGTCTCAAATAACACAGCATGTCCAATATACAGTGTCAACGATAGTCACTTCACGACGATCGGACGGAATCTGGCCTGTTTTGGGGAACATGTAGAAGAGAGCTCCTTTTTTTGCAAAGCTTCATAGCAAATGAACGAACGTGCTTATTGTGTCGCCACACCCCGGACCCGACCCTATCAGCTAGTTCTTGCGAAGACCCGGAACAGAGCCTGAAAGGCTTTTTGGAGATTATCTCGACGGAAATAATCCTCCAAGCACGTCGAACTGCCTGCGTCGCGGGCTGCTTGACGTTCGCTCCGTTCGTTCGTTTCCTGCGAAGGCCGAGCGGGCTACGAGCCCTGGTATTCCCTGGTTCTCACTGTGGAAGATAACATACAAAGGGTAAGCATCCTAAACAGGCGAATAAAATAAAAATTTCCAAGAAAGCCGGCGAACTCGGAATGCAAAATGCAGGTGGGGAGCCACGCTGACCGGGTTTCCACAGCTCAGGCGGGTGCCAGAAATTTCTGACTGATAGGGGTCGCTCGATTCGCAAAATGGCGGCGGCCAGAGCGCTATTTTTGGAAAGGTCTATAGCAACAATTTTTGTGTGCCTTTAAATTTAGATTTTGTAACTTTAGCAATTCAAGAAAATTTAAAGTTTTACTATACTTTCATACACTCAATCTGAATGGAGTGTAAGGACTATTGCTTGTTCCTCAGAGTCATATCAGAGTTCAAGAAATATCCTGATATACCTTTTTTAGTAACTGAGTGACTTTTAGTAATATTCTCAATTACTTTTTTTTTGGTTTCCTCATCTATTTGAAGTGAAGCTGTCAGGTCACCGATCGTGTAGAAAATATCAAGATGGCAATATGACAATGTTGTGTTCCCAAATTCCAGATTAGATCACCCAGTTTACTAACTCTGAATTATAACAAGTATGTAAAGTGGCAAGAACGCTTGTTGGGCTCAACTTTTCAAAATGATTGTTTAAAAGCTACTTGATTACCACTCCAATACAAATTTCTTGTGTAGTGCACCGGTGATGATTGATACCTCGGCAATGCCATGTAGTTCGTGTTCTTTTCATATCAACATTTTTTTTTTTTTAGTGGCAGTTTTTGACTATACAAAAAGTTTGCAATTGTATACTTGCATAGCTCTTCTTTTACTGTCTTAGAGGATGCTAGTTTTTATTTATCTTTTTTTTCAGGGAGCACGAATGGTGAGAGAGCTTTTTGAAATGGCACGAAGCAAGAAAGCCTGCCTCATCTTCTTCGACGAAATCGACGCCATTGGCGGTAAGTGTCGGACCTTGTCGGTGCTTCCACAAGCCCACGTCACTGTCCGTGCTGGCATTTCTTCAAAGACCTGGCGCAAGGATTATATATTTTATTGTTAAAGTTTAGGCTAGTCGGTATACAGACATAATAAGAACAAAAACAGCTCGTAGACGAGGAGCACTGTAACCATTTACTTTGTCCTCGTCTTCACACTTTTTTCTTTTTATTATGTATGTATTTTAGTTTGAGCTGGAGCACACAAAGTTATACGAAATGAAGTCTAGGAAAAAAACGACAAACAAATCGGTGTGCATACTAGACAACACTAAATTCACACTCGGGAAAAAAGTTTTTTAAGTGTTTGGTTGGACATTAGGTAGTATGTCACAAAATCAAGTTTACACAAACAAAGCTAGTGCAATATTTACGTTGCAAAGCATATTTTGACTTGGAAATAATTCTGAAACTAACCTTTTTTTTTTTTTTTTAATATCTACCCCGAAATAGGAATTGGCTTTGGAATCACTCTTAACTCAAAATCTGTCTCACAACATAAACATTGCAATATCTTTTTTTTTTCTTCTTTTATTTTTTTTTTGGGGGGGAGGGGTGGTTATTTTGTGGCATAAGGTCCTATCTGGGCAGTTAAAACAAAAGTTTTTTGGGTGATCTCTGTATTTTGAAAGGAAGAGCAGTATAAGCTGTACCGTGTTAGTCCTGTCACTTCTTTTTAGCGTCAAAGTTTGAAATTGTCTTGCTTCAGAAATTACCTTGCTGCAGGAAGACGTAATCACGGGCGGAAAACCTACATAACTGGCAGACTGTTTTGTTTCTTTTTGCATTTCTCACAGGCGTTTGAATGTTTGACACTTGGAACACCTTTTCTCGCATCCACCCGAACCCACAGTCTGTCGTGCATGTCCCCCATACCACACCGAAACTGCCTCTCGAACTGCCGGTCGGCTGCCGCATAATGGCAACTAGCTTCCGCTGGGCCTGGCGTTCTCCTTCTGCAGCCGTGTGCCTCTCTCGTCACCTCACTGCACCCACCGCAGTCACTCCTGCATGGCTTTCACAGTACACGAAGCCCACAAGCAAGAGCCTTCGTAAAGCGCATAGTCCACCTTGCTGCCGCCGAGCGCACTCCGAGAAAAATCTCTGCTCCAAGAGCAATCTTCGGCTGCATGCTCTGTGCCTTACTCTTTATCGAGGCTACATTCCAAACCAGGGCACGAAAGTGCTACGCTCTTGTCCTATAAATGCCATGCATATATTAAGTGCTTTCAATCAATCAATGTATGGGTTCTTGAACTGGATTTATAGTAATCCAGATGTTCCTCAGGCTACCCTCAGGGGCTCTTCGAACTCCGAAACTTCTTTGACCGTCCCTTACCCTGTGTAAAGTGTTTTTCCAGTTTAAAGGCCCACCTACAGAATCGTCTTTTGCCAGGTAGAAAGCAGGCTCCCAGTTTCCTTCTCTCCATTCCCTCTCGCACTCTTCTTTCTCCTGCCCACGGGGGCATGTCTCTGAGCCACTCCTCGCAGAAAGGAGGAGGGCCTCCCTCTTTCTTGAATGGAAAGGAGGAATCAAGGGAGAGTGTTTTCCGCTCAGAGTTACGCACCCAATGATGCGTAACTCTGAGCCGAGCACTCCCCGATACGTTTGTTATTGTTCAAAACCTCCATAGGCCCGGAACCGCTTTATTCGATCCTTGCCGAGACGAGGAGGGGTTCATCGAGATAGCAAAGTTTGAGAACCCCCGAATCAATGAATCAATTAATTGCTGCAAAGAGTTCACAAGAAGGGTCCCGTCTTAATGAGATTTCCGTTGCCTGATCGACTGCGTGGGGCGTACCCCCAGGGGCCCGCTTCGACGACGGGGCGGGCGGGGACAACGAGGTGCAGCGCACGATGCTGGAGCTGATCAACCAGCTGGACGGCTTCGATCCCCGGGGCAACATCAAGGTGCTGATGGCCACCAACAGGCCGGACATTTTGGACCCCGCACTCATGCGGCCGGGCAGGCTCGACCGCAAGGTCGAGTTCGGACTGCCGGACCTCGAGGTAGGTGCCTTTGAATCGGACGTTGACTTGCGCCACCTGGCCTGTATTTTCAGGAGCTATGTAGAGTGCAAGTTTGTCTGCTTCTTTTGCAGAGTTTGTGATGACGTCAGAATGACGAGCTCTGATTGAATCCGATTGAAGGATAGTGGGTATACTTCAAAGCAAGCTGCCCTTAAGGTCTACCCGCTATCTTCAATCGGATTCAATTAGAGCTCAGCATTCTGACGTCATCGCAACCCCTGCAAAAGAAGCAGACGAACTTGCGCTCCGTGTGGTCACCGTTAGGATGAGAATTGCGGGGCATCTCTTTAATATGCCTGGCCACCGTCGCGCGCCCGTTGCACTCTGCAGTGCTTTGGTCGCATTTGCCCACATGGAGGCTCGTGAGATGCCCGAGCGTTGTTGACGGTAGGAAATTTGCGCCGGAGGCGAGAAAACGAACGAACCTCGTGCCATTCCGATCCTGTCAGTGACCATAAGTTTTTTATATAATTGCGAGGATTTAATGTAGCTTTATCGTCGTCATCAAACATAACTCTAGCCACTGTCATTGCACCGGTGAAGCGCTCGCTCCCTCACTCCGGCACCTAGACAACGACGGTTCGGTACGGCAGGCCGACATATTGGTGTACGGTGAATCGCTCGTCCTCGAACCACAGGCAGTTGAATTGTTTTGGTCGTGGTTGCAGCCTGCGTCATCTCTGCGGGGACCCCGCAGGCTTGTAACTTGCTGTCTTGTGTTCTCAGGGAAGGACTCACATCTTCAAGATTCACGCGCGCTCCATGAGCGTCGAAAGAGACATCCGGTTCGAACTCCTCGCTCGACTCTGTCCCAACAGTACAGGTACGTAAAGTGATTTTCGTGGTTCGATTTAGCCTATACAACGTCGGTGCATTGGCTAGAAATTCCTTCTTCTTTACTGGCATTTCCTTTAACACCACAGTATTGGGTAGGGTAGGACATCTATGTGGAGAGCAAGTCGTCTGCTCCTTGCGCAGGAGTTGCAATGACGTCAGAACGATGTTGAAAAGACAGTGGGTAGACCTCAATGCTAAATGCCCTAAAATCTACCCACTTTTTTTTTTTTTTTTTCAATTAGTTAGTAAGAGTTTGGCATTCTGACATAATCGTAACCCCTGTGCAAGAAGCAGACAAACTTAATTGCGCTCTGCATAGTCGGCATCAACATTTTTGTAGTACATTGTCAAGGCTAACGGTAGTTTCCACGGCGCTCTCATAGTCACCTCTGTGAGCGCACGCAAGTGGGACGCAAGATGAAGCTATGAGCTCGTGCAGCAGTGCGTGGCTGCGGCAGTGTGGAAAATAAGCTAACCCTGACAACATAGCACAAAATAGTTGACGCCAAATACAGTATGACCTTGTTACAACAGATCTGGTGTCAGCAGGCATTTGGTGATAACTAGGATTCCGTGTTTTCCGAGTTTATTGTTCGTGAAATTCGGAGGGTGTTTTTAGGAGTTATTTTTCACTAAACATTTCGGGATTATCAGATTTTTTTTTTTATATTCCTAATTCCCTGAAATTCTGAGTTTAATTTTACTGTTTTTAAATTTTTCAGAATAAAAATTAAAAAAAATAATATCCACACACAAACATACCCTCAATTTATAAGAACTCACCTGATCAAATGATATGCCTGCAACTGCATTTGGCATTGGCCAAATACTAACTGTCCCACGACAAATCTTGAAAATTGGCGTCACTTCAGGTAATGTCTATACTTGGAAATAACTAAGCACCTGGACGTAGTCGCTGGGAAGCAAAGAAGCTTCAGTTGTTCCTCCCCCCCCTCCTAGGAAATATACAGGTCCGTAGCTCTCACTGTAATAAAAGCACGATTTCCCTCCTCCTTTTAAGAAGGGAATAGTACATATAGTGTGGTCCAAACTGGAAATTGGAACAGTGGCTTTTCTCGTGACCCGATCCATTGTTGTGAACGAACCTTGACGCAAATGGGAAACTCCCTTTTGTCAGTAGCCCGAAGCTTCAAAAAAAAAAAAAAAAACCTCTCCTCAGGAGCATCAACCTTGTGCTCTCTCAAAATTTATTTGTAAAATACAGTCTTCTTTTCTTTTCTCGTTTTGTTGTTGTGGTTTTGATATTTCGTGTTTTTCGAATAAATTTGAATCGACAGACATTTCACCAAACATGGAACCCTAATTGTAACGTCCGATTTGAGAAGTTTAATTGGTCTTCCTATCTATCTATGCCGTCGAATCAGCTTCGCTTATGGCATAACATAAAGGCCCGTTCACACTCTTGCGACCTCTTAGAACTGGGTTCCTTAAAACCTCTTACGAGAGGACACACTGGCGCCGTCTATTGGGTAGCAGTGTAACCTTGGCGGTCCGGCATATTTTGTTTCTCTTACGCATTATCCTTTCTTTCTTGGCTCAAAAAACATTTGTCAACGTTTCAAACGAGTCTTTCTCACAGGTATTTCACACATTTGACCTCGGAAATCCTGCAAAACCTTCGCTCTTATGAAATGCAGTTCCAGGGTCACCGCATAGATGGCGCCAGGGTGCCAGTGTATTCTTTCGTCCGAAAAAACTTTAAGGGGAGACACCCCCTGGGAGGGTCAACTTTTAAACCCTTGGCTTAAAATTAATGAAATTTACAGGGTAGGTTGGTGGTCATGCTAGAGGGTGCGTAACAAACTTTCAGGTCTGTCGGTTAGGTGGGAAGGAAATCAGAGCAGCTTCTATCAGCAACACGCCCACATTGTTTAGTTAATTTATCGTCGGAAAACAATCGCAATATTCAAGATTTTATTCGCTAGATATCTGGAAAGTTTTTTTGTGAATGTAATTTATTTCTAGCAATTTTCTCTTCTGCAAAATTGGTAAACTTTTTGGTCCTCTGCGTCTTCGACAAAAAGTCAACATTTGTTTATAAAAGACATCTGGAAAGTGACAAAAACATTCCATAGCCGCATTCCATATTAAATTTCAGTCACGGAAAGTGAAGAGCGAGCCTTCCTTGGTATTGCCATTATCAAATGATATTTTGACTAAAATGGAATTTATACCAAAAAGTGGAACAGCGTTCAAAGTGCTCCAAACCCTACCCTTTCTTTAGCTTCGGTAGACAGAAAATAATTTATAAAAAATTAACTGTGCAGCGTGAACTAGTGAAAATTTCTGGGAATACTGTCTAGATGTTGGTGGATGTAAATATGTCATTTTTCAAAATCAACATTTTTTGCAGAAATATTTTTTTCCGGGTAAACCCTTAGAGGTTTCAACAAGTCCCGTCTCTTTCGGTCTTACTCGGTTGCAAGAGTGTGAACGGGCCTTAACATACATTCAGACGAAATGGGCTATATTACGGAATTTGCAAGTAGTTCACCATTCCATTATAGTGGATTCTCCGACAGCAGTCATTATTTCGGACATTACGTGGCTTTGGTTCAGGAATGGTGGCCACGGTGGCATTCATTTTGCATACCACTGCCATTGTGTTCGGCACTTTGCGAGGCTCATACGATCCAAATTGCGCAGTGATGACAATCGTAGGTGGAGCATTTCAGTTCAAAGTTCAAGTTTCAATAAACCAGTTTTTTTTCGAATATCCATTCTCATTTTTTCAACCTCAATTTTAGGACAGGCTCCTGTCATAATCCACCTTGGAGTTTGAAGTAAGAGTATCTGCATTCTCTACACTCCTTTTACAACAGACCAAAATCTTTATCACATAGGAGGTCCTTTGTAATTAGTTTATAGTATGTGGCGTGGACAGCCTTTTAACACAGGACCTGCGCAGGGGCATTGAACAGGCCCGTAGCTATGCTTTGTGTCATACGCAGGGTACAGTGCTTTGAAAGGTGCTTGCACAAGTTCAGTTTGCTGCAATTTTATTCGCGTGAGAGCCGTCTCAAGTTTTATTCTCTTAGGCTGGCTTGCTTGAAGTAACGACCATGAAAATGAGTGGCGTCTACGTGACCACCGGTCTTATTGGGCCATCATTCCCTGTGCTTTCGATAAAACTTGCGCATTTACTCCTATATAGATTAGGAATATAGAGAACTCTCCAAGAATAGTAAACAATATTTAAATACAAAGGGTTGACCCAAATTTTTTAGAAAAGATGAAAGGGAAGGAATTCTATACTGTCATTTATTTCGCAGCAATCCCTAGTTACCCTAACTAGAGCTAACTCTTCGACTGCACTGGCCGCGTCATTGTCTGACTGCAGACCATGATGCTGTTGTCGCGAGGCCTGCAATGTCACGAGCAACTATCAAAACACTCACAAGGAAAGACTTCTCAAAATGTCGGGATGGTGGCTGCATGACATGACTATCAGGTTCAGCCACAGCACTCCATGCTGTGGCGCTCGTCAAGCTTTGCCGCTTTGCGCTGGAGTGCTAGGACAGATTCGGAAGTTTTGCTAACTAGTATAACTTTATAAGTCAATCTTCCTTGGTCATGATTATAGGCCAACCCATAATTTTAGAAAAGGTTGACCTATATTTGAATGAATATGGTATCCCTTTGGCAGCCTTATGCGTAGCAATGAAAGGGTACCTGCGAGGTTTTCTAGCTTATCCCTCAATGAATGCAGCAGAGCTTCGCATGGAGTGCTACCGTATACAGTAATATAAATTTTGTATTTACTGTCATTAGGGTAAAATCATGCCGTGCTTCCGTAGGGCCATGTGCAACTGTCAACTTTGTGTGGTTTTTAGTTGAAGGAACATTGTGAAGGTGTTCTGGCGGCACGTTTTCACGTATAATAACAAATGCGTAACAGACACTGTAGATTCCAGGTCATGGCATTTCGCAGTAGTTAGTCGAATTTCTTACACAGTTTACATTCGCGTACACCGCTTCACTCGATTTACTAATGCAATATGTCTTGACAACTACTGGAAGTGCACTGCCCTATAGCGGGGATACACTTTCTGTCCTAGTGTACAACGCTCAGCGAGGCCGCCGAGGTCACAGGACTACTCGCACGTTACGTGTGAGCAGTCAGAAACCACGCGCTCCTGCGGCCATGTTGCCTTTGTCGAGCACTGTATGCCAGTCAACGTAAATTGATTTATCTATAGTCCGTGACAGGCCAGGAACCTGGTGGATGCTCTGCCTCCAGCATGTGCTCCTTGCCTTCCGCTGGGCTCCGGCTCTGCGTGCGACGAAGTGCGGTCAAAGGCAGGAAGCTCGCACTCAAGTCGGAGCATCTATCGGGTCATTAACACGTCACCGACCTTAGCGAAAAAGCAGGGCCGCGAATCTAAAGGTACAAAAGGTTCACTGCACCGCGTACAAACGTCGCCATAAATTTGTTGCACCGCTCGCAGGAGCGGAGATTCGCAGTGTGTGCACCGAAGCGGGCATGTTTGCCATCCGAGCACGGCGCAAGATTGCCACGGAGAAGGACTTCCTGGAGGCCATCAACAAGGTGATCAAGTCGTACGCAAAGTTCAGCGCCACCCCACGCTACATGACCTACAACTGAGCCCTCGGTCGTCCGCCGCCTCCGAGGATTTGTGCGGGGTACTGGCAACAATAAAATCTGTTTCCATCGTCGTTTGGGCGTGGCTCCTACACACGGGAAGAACAATCTTCCAGTGCATTCACATCCAGGATGGCCAAGATGTACCCTGTTCAGACTTTGTGGAGTGCATTGGCTGGTTCTAGTAGGAGTTTCGGCAAGTACAGTTGCGTAACAAGTTCATAACCCCACTAGACTGATGGGGTTAGTTCCGCCAAACCATCCTGTCGGTTCTGATTGTCAGTCTATGAGAAGGGGAAGGTGGATAATGTCAAAAACAATTAAGTTAGAATGATTATGCATGAGCACTATCCGGACGCTGCGAATGCTACGAGCCATTCTAGCCAATCCCGTTCTGCGGACCTAGCCCGTGATACGCTCTCCGCGCATCGCTGTGTCCCCTCTCCAAGGCCATGAGACACTCACACTGCCTTGGATTGGCTCCAATGACTCGTAATATCCGCTGCGCTCGGACGTAAGGTGAAACGGGTTTATAGTAAAAGGAAAGCGAGGGTAAAAAGGAAACTGCTTTTTCTCATAGCAATGTGGTTTTACTTTTTGTTTTTTCTTGCATGAAAAATTGCAGTTCACGAGTGCATACCGCAGTTACGTTAAAAAAAGTTAACACTTGCAGAAAAATTAACTTGTTTGGTGATTAATGGGATTTAGATCGATGAAAATGCATTAGCATTTGTTATTCGTCGCCCCCTTTTCATTCGTTTAGGGCCCCTTGCCACTCATTTACCTCCTCTCTCGTCGTTTAGTTCAAACCACATTCATCGCCGGAGCGGCAACTGAGCTGGGCCGCATTCCCAAGCAGCGCGGTGCCTGCCCGTCTCTGGTTCTGCGCCAGCTGTGCAACACTCGCATTGGTCCGAAGCGATGACGTCGGCACGCGTCACTCTCCCTCTCCCCACCGCCGTGGTGAGACATTGAATCTGTAAAGACGATACCTCCTCACCTCCCCTCCTCCTTGCGACATCACGCATGGCCCTGACAAACAGATGCACGGACTGATACTGGCGGGTTTTCATGAAAACGAGCATTCTAATGTTAATGCATTAAAACGGAGATAGGATGTTATATTATGTTCGCAAGGTAAAAGGCACACAATTAGCATGTCTGCAGCAGAAACTGCTCGTTACACTCTGCAGGTAGTGCCAGCGCAACGAGGCAAGCATACTTTGGATGTTGGTGACCAGCCAACCAGCTATGAATAGGAGGTCGCAGCCCGAGGACGTCCTCTTTAGTCATCAATGATGCGCGTCAAAAGTGTCCTTTATTATCCCCGCCGTATAAAGTCGACACCCCTCGTCGGAACGCAACCTTAAACCGTCCCCATCGCCACATCAGGATTTGCCACCACTTTTCGCGATGGCGCTGCCGATGGCAGACCTCAAGTTGAGGAGCATCTTCTGTGCAAGCGTCTCATCCGCCGCGCCCTTTGCCACGGGGGTGGCCAACGGCCGAGGAGCGACCAACACCCGCGGAGAGGCCAGCTCGGCCCTCAGGCTCCTCGGCACTGGCGTCCCCGAGAAGGCGGGGCCCACACGGTTGCGACAGGTGTGCATCTGCAGCTCCAGCATGTTGGCCGACGCATCCCCGCACGACATGCAGACCACAGGGTACCTCCGCTGGACGCCCGGCCGGCCCCGGCTGTGCTTCTTGCGTTTGTGCAGGAGCAGCGTAATCTTGGCCGGGAAGGCGCGCGAGCACAGGTCGCAGCGGAAGGGCCGCCGGTTCTCCGAGTGGGTCCGGACGTGGTAGTCGAGCGAGCACTTCTGTGCGTACGCTTTGCCGCACAGGTCACAGGCGTGGCGCTTGGCGCGGTTGTGCACGTTGGCCACGTGCCGCTCAAGCGCGGCCTTGGTGGTGTATGCGTGGCCACAGTGCTCGCACGAGAACTTGCGCACGCTGCGGTGGGCCAGAAGGTGCTTGTGGAGGAGGAACCTGTGGATGGATACGCCGCAAATACGACAAGACGTCTTCTTTGGGAATCGCTCGTCGTGGGACAGGCTGTGCACCAGGAAGTCGTGAAGGTTGCGGTGGCTGTCGTCACCGCAGATGCCGCAGAGGAGAGGCCGCAGGTTCGGGTCGTGCTGGCCCATGTGGCGCACGCCCTCGCGCCTCGAGTCGCAGGCAAAGGCGCACTGCTCGCACCGAAAGCGACCATACACGTGAAAGTGAAGGTGAACCAGGTAGACCTTGTAGGAGGTAAATTTCTTAAAGCACTCGCCGCACGTGTGGTTGATCTTGGTGGGGTCCTGGTTGGCGGCGGCCACGCTCTGAGCGTTGCGGCGGATCTTGGAGCAGCGCCGTCTGTGGGCGATGTGGTACAACGGCGCCGGAGAAAAGGGTACACCGTTGGTGAGGGTCTGCTTGGCCACCTCTAGTTGTGGGGGGTTCTTGGGGTCGCAGGGGACCCTCGCCACACCCAGGGAACCGCCACTGCTCGGTCTGGCGGTCCTCTTGTCGACTCGCGAAGTGGACGGCGCGCCCTCTTTCGAAGCGGACGCCCTCGGGACGTCCTGTACGGGCGACAACAATGCTTTTTTTTCTGCGACAGGCTGGTGTTTCCTAGTCGCCGCAGCTCGGTCCGAAAAGCTGGACCTGGGGGCCGACAAGTGGGTTACCACGAAGACCGGCGGCTGTGAGCCTTCCGTCTTGATGCTTCGGACGCGCACCACCATGACGTCGTTGGCGTCCACGGCGCGGAGGAAGCACGACAGCGGCACCATGCCCGCGGCCTTCTTGACGAGGCGCTTGATGAAGTGCGTGGGAACGGCGGTGTCGCAGCGCGCGATCAAACTGAACTCTGTGCCTCCGTCACTCGCGTTCTGGCAGATAAGGAGCGGCGAGAGCCTGTAGAACACGTCCGCGGTGTCCTCGACGCTGAAGATCTGCTCGAGTTCCTCGGAACCGCAGTCCGGGAGGAGCTCGTCGTCGTCCAGTACCTCGGCGAGCTGGTGGGTGATGTACACGGCGCTGTTTTTTTTCACGTACACCTCGTTCGGATTGTAGTTTCTGGACTCTTCTTGAAGGTCGATCTCGGGTTCAAGGCTCCCGTCGGGCACGTCGGGAGGCTCGGTTTTAATGTGAACGGGCAACGGGGCTGCCGCCGCTGCGTCTTCGCTTGCATCCATAGCGGCTCCGGCGAAGAGTTAAATTTGTCGTACTTAACGGGTCTCACCGGTCTCACCTATGCTTGTTTGAATAGCGGACGACAAGGTTACCACCTGGTATGTTTCTTACGGAGTGACAAAATCCGTAGCTCACGCTCTCAGTGTAACTATTTGAATGCTATTCGAAGCTTTCGGTGGCGAAAGCTACAAACTTATGCGCGCCGCCATCTTGTCTCGTCCTAACCGCCAGAGTGCGCCAGAGCCGCCAGATGCGCCTAGATGCGCCAGATTGGCACCGATTTTAAGTTGAAGAGATTCTAGGTGATATTCGTTCTACGATAACGCATAAAATGCGTAAAACGTCAAGCAAAATGTTATGCGCGCTCTTTGAAGCATTATTTATGCTGACTTATAATTACCGATAATGCGCTCGCTGGTGCGAGGATACACTGCTGTCTTCTGTTTGCTCCCCCTGCGTCCGAGAGTATGCGGGGCAGACGATTTCTATCGCGGTCCTCGCATCCTCGCTTTTGAAGGGGGGAGGTGGTTAGAAATGTGGGGCGTTTGTTGTGGTACTGGACGCCAGCAGGAGTAGGGGTAACCGCGAGCTTTTCTTTCCCCGGTGTCATGTTCGGGTACGCCGTGTGTTTGTGAGTGCTGACTCGCCCACTGACGATGGAATGCACTGTGAGGAGCATGGCCGAAGCACAAGTCAGCGAGGAGCAAGCTGTGGTGCCCGAAGGACGCGTCGAGAAAGGTCGGTGTCAGTGCGGCTGCTGGCCCCCTCCACAGCCGCTTCTTTTACACCGTTCTGCTTCTTACTATCGCCGAGTAACGGGTCGGTAGATACCTCGCTTATCTCTTCCGTAAAGCGACGTACGAAGTATCTGACTCGTTGTCTAGTCTTGATAAGCCTTCCGCTAGTGAGCATAAAAGATGATAGCCTGCGTGATCTGTGATCGTGTGCGGTGAAGCACCACTTGGATGTAAGCGCTCGCCGCTCTGTTTACAAACATTGCAACGTCCCTTTTGCTTGTTCCTTCTGTTTTGGCGCCTATCTCGCTTTTGTTCCACTTTATTATAGGGTGGCAGCGTTCCGCGCACAGCTGGTAGTGCGAGTGGCGATCGCATACCTGTCTCCGCTGGAAGGCTGTACCAGCCGTGCGTGCTTCGCTGCTGACGTCTCATTCGCGCACGCTTGTTCCAGTTCAGATTTCCTTTTTCTCAGGCGTGCCTGAAAAGCTTTCAACGACGTTGATTATTGGCCTTTCGATCGCATTCAACAATGATTTTGCGGAGGTAGCAATTCGTGCTGAGTTGATCGCCGATCGTTGTTGCAACGTTTCAAAGAAACGATCGTGTGCAAGTCCGAGCACGAATCGGTACTAATTTGCCCCATCCTGCTATCTACGGCTTTTTTGCTTTGTTCTTTTTTTTTTTTTTTTTTTCTTTCTTTTAGTTAGAGCTGAAGTTGCGATCGATTACTTTTTTCCGACGGCTCGAAGTGGTTGTCTTTGCTACGTTCGGGGTAGATTTTTTCATTCCCATATTTATCTCCAACGTCAACAGTACGTTAACAACAAGGAACGAGACGCTCTTTTCTTGTTCGAGACACCTGGGTGATCCATCAGCTCCTAGCTTGCAGTCGCCAAAACAACTGTACTTTTTTTTTTCTCTTTTTTTTTTTTTTTTTTTTTTACGCCGGCGATGTGGCGTGCATGCCGCTCGACAGAAAACTGGCTTGAACCCCCCTTTCCATCCTCTGCAGCGCCCGTGGTTCTTGTGTTTCGCATGTATTGGAAAGTCAACTTAACGTGCCCAAGGTTCTTCTTGGGGTTCTTCATCATTGGTATCCAATTGGGTTAAACAATACAAAACAAATCTCTATGCAGAGCCACTTCGAAGGATAACGACTCCCACAGTTTGTTAGATGTCCGCCCATTTGCATACTCTTCGAGAAAACTAGTTATAACCCGAACACAAGACGAAGTTTGTACACTTTCAATCAGGATGGTTGTCTGACATTTCGTTTGAGGTGATTGGTTGGAGCTCATTTAACTCGTGCGTTTAACGTGGGGATACCCAGACTACGATTACATGAAAAAGAGAACACACAGAAACGTTTGGAGTTTTCCTAGTATTCAAAATATAGAAGCTTAACGCGCGTGCACTCCACAAGCGCTCTCACGAGACCTCGCTTGGAAGCATATGGTCGCTCGTGAATCCATGGAACGCGAACATGTGTTTTCATACCAGAAACTCTGGAAGCATAATTTCTAAGGTGAGGCTAGCTGTTGAACGGTCATGCTTATCAACGCCGAACAAGGAAAACACACTCAAAGACGTCGTTGTGTTGTTCCTTTTCCTTGTTATTTCCCCCCTTGTTTCGAGGTTATATAAGTACGGTAAAGGGGACATCCATCGTAAACCGGAGACACGGAAAAATAAAAAAACGGACAAAACAACAACAAGGGGACATATTATTTTTCAACTCCTTCCTCCTTAGCTTTAATCCTCCACTCAAAAGTGAAATGAAAAACACGTGGTCGTGACGCGCTGGGCACCGGAGGCAATGAAGCAGACGTCCGAGTGACGCAGTGCTCGTGTCCAGTGCGCGAGATGGGTGCTTGGGCACCGCGGATGCACCGCTGTGAAAAGGCGGAAAGCTTCCAAAGAAAAGGACGTACGAAATAATTGTCCGCTATATTTTCAAATTTTCGTGCCGAAAAGCAGGCTTTAGGCTTTCTACGCTGGTGCACTAGTTTCGTTTTGGCTACTAAACGATATGCGATGAATAAAATTCCCAATTTATCCCAGCCAAAGATTCATTTCATGGTCCCTTTAATAGCTCGTTTCTGTCTGAAAGGTGTGATCTACCGAGCGGATATTTTTGTGTCTGCACTGCAGTGTGTCCCTTGCGTGTTTCGGCGAATCACGGAACCGATGCTTGTCGTAATTTAATAATATACTCACCACGTGTAGTAATTGCCCTATCTGTATTTCTACGAAAAAGAGAATTTTTGTATTTCTATCATAAAGCGTGCTATTCTTATAAACTGCCGGATAGGTCCCCATCTCTCTCGGCATCCCTCCTTTCTGTGTACCTCAGCACTTTAACTCGCAACAAGTACCGTTTTGTCCATGTTCTTAGGTTCGATTTGGCAGTACGCAAGCGTGGCATAAACCCGGGGGCCAAGCGAACCGAAAGGGGGACAATCGTGTTTGGCCGTCTAAACTTGTATATCGAGTGCATAATCGACCGAACCAAATGCCGAGAACTCTGACCTGGGTTGCGTCGTGACGCGAGGCGGCGTTTCATCGCCAAGCCCGGTCGTTGCTGTTTTAATCCTCGCTCCAGGTCACGGCTCCGGGGGCCAGCGTACTCTAAGGTAAACAATGCACGCGATGACTCGGCCGTCTCGCCGCTGTTCCGCCTTTTGCCGTCACGCTCCGTGACGTATCACTTGACGCGGTGCATGGATGAAACGTGTCGGCGCTATAAATACCTGCCCTTCCCAGCTCGTCGTCGTGTCCACGAATTCCTTCGACCGCACGCTCGGCGGTGTAGTAGATGGGGGGGGGGGGGGGGGGGGGGGGGGGGGGGGGGCAGGGCAGGCAGGCAGGCAGCATGTACACGTTTCCGGAATTGGGGCAGAAAGAAGTTATCAGGCTGTGTTATTACATCCGTTTACTCCTCAACATCATTATTTGGAACATTTAATAACACGATCTAAGAATTGACCTTATCAGTGTCAGAATTTGTTTAGTGTAGTTGGAGCTCCGCACTTGCAACGATACATATGGCTCACGCGTGTGATGTCATCGCGGTATGCCGGTGCTCATCTGTTTGATCTTGGCGAGGAGAACATCGTGGGTATTATTATTATTACTATTATGATGCGCTGGGAAGGCTCTCGGAATATCAGGACTGCCAGTGAGCAACGACCGTGGTTTTGAAAAGAAGGAAAGAAAGTAATTTCAATCCCTACAGTCTTTCAGTTTGACACTTTTGTGTTCGGTGCAACGCAGTGATGATAATAATTATTATGATATTATAATACCTTTATTCACCATGTAAGGATGGTGGGAGCTGACGAAAAAAAAGCTGTCCAGGCAGCTTGACTGATCCTCAGCTCCCTTCAAGAAAAAGTAAGTTCTAAAAAATAAAAAAAAATGGAAATTTGCAGATGAGAGAACCGTACTGATCGAATAGAAATTTTGTCTTTCGGCGGCTCCGTAACATTTCTTCCATTCGATCGGTACGGTTTACTTATACACATATTTCGACTGCATGGTGCGGGTAAACAGATTTACGGGATGTCCGTAGGCGTGTTTTTGCTATTCCTAAAACTGTTTTAATCGAGTTCAACATTTTTGACCCGTTTGGACATCTTGGCTCAGTTTACATTTGGGCTAGGGAGCCTACAGGAAGGCACTCTAATTTGGGCCAGTGCTTAAAGTCTCCCGTAAGATGAGAGGGACCCCTACAATAAGGTGGGTGGGGAGGGGGGTTTTGGACAAGAGGTGAGAGATGCACATAAAAGAAACCCCACTGCTGACTCTGTCCACGCTTACCTGCAACTCTCAGATTGCTAATCCCCAAATGTCACACCTCTGAAAAGAAGCTATTTTATTGCAAGATATGATTTTGATCTCACTAATGCTGGGGCTATGGAGGAGAGTCTCAGGCCATCCGTTAGAATCAGGGGGGGTCGAGAGCCCCTGAGACCCCCCAGACTTTTCAGCCCTGATTTGGACCCCATGAAACGGCGCGAAGGTTGTCGAAGCTTGAAGTATTTTTCGAGCGTGTCATAGAGACGTTCAAGAAACGAATCCATTGATCGACGGGGACAGGCAAGCATGCCCCCCCTCCCCCCCCCCCCCCCGGTCCGTCTTCGTTAAAATGCTGTCATTTCTTGGATAGATGAAGCTGATAAAAAGAACGTGAAGCAGAAACCTCCCGGAACCCTGCGAGTGACAGCCCACGAAGAATTCTCTCGGAGAAGCGCCGACCGCCACTTTTAATTTCGGTCACAAGGCCTCAATACAAAGGTGCAGTGCCGTCCGCGGCGCCGAAACGAATGCCGGGAACAACCTGTACGGAACCGGTCGTAGGAGACGATGGAGGATACGTCCAGCGAGCAACGCTTGTAGTCGACATGTCCGAGCAGGTCACGTGATACGGGTGTCAAAATGTCCAACCAGGTTAAAACGTCCCAGGTAAAAACGTCCGATAATATTCGGCATTTCGACACGTTGGACAGTGCGCTACTCTTCTCGCTCTCTCTTCAGTGTAGGGCGCCTTTTTGTCCGCTTTCGCTTTAGTGTGAAGTAGAGAGAGAGAGGGAATTCTGGCAAAATTTAAATACTAGCGTGGGAGTTAGAACCAGAGGCTGCAGTGTGGAGAAGGAGGTGCTGCGAGGAGCGTGCAACGGTACAGGACTGGGCGCAGTTCCTCTCTATGCCCTTTTGCGCGCTTTCCTGCCTGAAAGTAGCACATCCGCGAGTTACGTTCCGGCACAACGAGTGGGCGCCTTTCTTTCTTTCGGTGAGGTGGTGACGTCATTGGACCGTTAAGAGGCGTAATTGATGGCGCGTGGGCGGCGTCGCGCGACCTTGGCGATTAGACGCGCCTGCTGTGGTACCCATCCCAGCGGCCTTGCCGCCCGATCACCCCCCTCCACACTCGCCCGCCAAGGGTGTGCATTTGGTTGGCTCCCCGCGAAAACAAAAAAAAAAACAAAAAAAAAAAAACTG